TAGCGGTAGTCAGTAATGACTGGACATCTTTGACCAGGTGCAAGTACCCTGCCAAAACACAATCTCGAAATTCGCATGGCGATTTGTAAATTCAAGAAGCGTCGTTTCGAGAACATAATACGCATGCACTATCTGGAAACTCGCATCTTGAATAGCTGATCAGCAAGGGAGATGGAGAAGCGATAGTCATTTTCTCACCCAAAGGGCGCCCAATCGCCAGAAGAGGGTCGTCCAGGACCCTTTCCAATAACGATTCGCCTGATAGGTACATCAGCGCCGATCCAGGTGGAGACTTCAATCCCATGAACCTGAGATTATGAAGAGCTCGGCCCCAGCGTAGTCTCCGAGAAGGTCCATCCATCTCGCTCGTCGAGTTGCTGGTGTAAACCATTGCTCATCCACTTCTTCTAAAGCCTGGGATGCAGAGATGGAACCCTGGTTTTTTACTGGGATCGAATGCTTGACCCCATCGCCATCGTCGAAGTTTTCAAGATCCATTTTGAGTTCTTTGAGCAACGAGGAAGAAAAGAGTCAAGACAAAGACGTGCCAATCGAATCCGAGTCCTCGAGGCGCTGCCGCGTCCGGCGGTAAGCGTCAACACAATTAGACGCCCGTTATCCTCAAGCTTCCTCTTTTGATCAATCCGCCTCATAGTCCAATAAGCAAACGGACGGTACCCGTCCGTCCGACTCTCTGAAAATTCTCGGTGACGGACGGCTCGGAGCCCTAGCAGCTACAAGATCACTCATACTTGGGCTTGAGGGCCATTGCATGCGCATGGCATAACCGAGTTGTTTCCTTTTTTTTTGGTTTTCTTTTTTCAAAGTTAGACGACCATCCTTTTAGCTGCCATACCTTCTTTTTTCTCTGGCTCGCCATCGCCCGAGCTTCGCTCGGCTCGAGCTCGCCCGCAGTTAACAACTTTCACATTAACTAATGTACTTCATGAATTTTGGCCGGCTCGCCCTCGCCCGAGCTTCGCTCGGCTCGAGCTCGCCGGGGGGGTTGGTTTACGGTATGTGTCTTCCAACTTGAACTCAGCGAGCATTAACGTCGATTTAGCCAAACATTGCAGAATTGCAGACGTCTTGAACCAGCGGCTGAAGAGTAATTTGATCTCCTCAGTCCTCCAAGGGACTTTACACTTTAGAATCTTTATCATCATAACCCGGAAACGGCGACTGGCCTGAACTCCTGGCAGAATGTCCTGAGCAATTCATCCTTGCTGTTGCCCTCCAGCGGGCTAGCGGCGGAACATTCGCAAGGAGTTCAATTTGACCTAGCAGAAAAATGGACAACATGGAAGGGTGGGTAACCCAAATGATAAACTTTCAACTTTGGTCTTGAGCCCAGCTTATAAAAAAAAACAGTAGCAAATCGAAGCAATTGCCTCAAACAAGAGGTGTCAAGTTGAACGTAGACTTAGAGGTTGCCAAGCCGCCAAGACGGCACAGAACGCGGCAAGCATACGGCAAAGTGCGGCGATCTAAACTTCGTAAGAGGTTTTGACTCACTGACCCCATTAAGGTCGGAAAACCCACGATAATTCCCTTAAACGGCAAAACTTCCAACACGAAGCAACTACGTCATCGCAAAAATCCATCCTCACTCTGGCGCTAAAATCGAGCATAAAACCGAGTTAAAAATAAATTTTTAAAACTCATATCAACTTCAAACCCAAAACAGCAATGCCCAATCTCTTGGCACAGAGAACGTTGCTAGCAAACGAATTCGGGACTATCAGGACTGTCCGAGCCGAGGAATTGTTGGCACTGCTTATTCCTTCCCAACAGAGTGGTATGCATCGACACTTCACGGGATTCAGAATCACAGTAAAGTACAACGGCCATCAAATCGGGGCCACAGTTGTGCTTCTGTATAAAAGGCAATTAGGGTATTAGCTGAGTACAATCCGACCTCTTCATCCTCACCGAATCATGGATCCCTTCCTCTTCAGCGAGGACTCCTATAGCACCCGACCCAAGTCCTGGTCCGACATGAGCACCTGTCAAAGGACCGTGGGCATCTTCATCTACACAGTAGTGTCAGCCATCGTAATAGAGCGTATTTGGTGCCCTCCAAAACCTGAAAATCGACCACATCTGTCAAAAAATTGATTGCTGATTCCCTAAATTTGTGACATCCAAAACGGGAACGGCTATCAATTTTTGTGGGTAGGATCATTTGGTGCGTGCCGGCGCGTCGCGTCCGTTCAAGATAGAGTCGCGCTACCATGTACAGCTCTATATACCTACTTCAAGGTCACTGAGGGCGTCCGCAATATTTACCTGGACCTTCCGAAGTAAATGTACAGCCTTATCGGCGTGAGCCTTCCACTTTCTAGCCTCTTCACGGTGGTCGTCGTGCTCCTGATAGGCTGTGTCAAGAAGAGTCGAGGAGCGACTGCTTTAAGACGCGACGCGCTTTGGGATGCGTCTGTGGTGGGAAGCAAAAAAAAAATAGCCGAGTCACATCAGAATTTGCATCAGTCACTCGACATCGCCTAAATATCAGCGGTGATCTCCAAAATCTGAAAGACGTTTTTTGGAGCACCAAATACGCTCTAATCGGCGGTATCATCGCTATCTTGATCGTCCACAATATCCTCGGCCACGCGATCTTCGCCATCGCACGACCCGACAAATACCTTCCGACCCTCCGTTCAGTTGTATTCAGCTCATTATACGGCGGCCTCATCGGCAGCAGCTCGCTGCCGCTGATTACTATTGCGGTCCGCATCGTACTGGGAACGGCATTCAAACGGAAACTCTTCGCCATGCTCTGCTGCGTCCCGATGGGCGTCATCGTCAACGTCGTCGGCGTGAAGGTACTTGAGGGTCGGGGATACCAAAGTCTACCAACTCTAAGGGAGGCAGCATGCGTAGCGGCAGCGGGGCAGGCCTTCGCGCTGGTGATGGGCACTGTGCACTTTTGCCTGTGGGCCCCATTCTCACACAATCTGTAATTTGTGTCTACGAGCTGAGGTGTGGAGAATGCCGTCTATAGTATATTCCAGCCTTATATCGATTTACGGAAATGAATTAGCTTGAGGAGCCACAAAGACGATCCCAATGTGCCAGCCGCCGACCGCTTGATACAAAATTGTGCTTGATGAGACGCTCAGATTTCTCAAGTCAAGTGTGCTGGCAAGCGGCTTCTGGAGAACAAACGGACGGTGAAATTGTACAAGGCGAGAGGTACAGTTATGAACAAAACTTTGGCCCGGAAGAGAGGAGGATATCATTGTATCATTGTGATGAGTGTAGAAACGGATGTGCAGGGAAGGGAACAATGTGCTTGAGGGAACACGCAAGACCAGAAGCTGAAAACCCGCCAGAGGACGAAGACCAAGACCAGATCAGTCGGAAATAAAATTGACGTTCCTGGAAGAGGCTAGAGGCACCCGAGGACTTGAAGTTTGAGGCGGCGACCCGAGTGGAGGGGGAGTGCGCCAGCCGGCGGCGGGTGAGGGAGGGATTTCGGTCTTGTGAGCGCCAGATTGGGACGGACGTGCTAGGCGGAGATCGGAGCCCCAGCGGTTCCGCGGCGTCAGCGGGCTGATGTAGAACAGAGGATTGTGCGTGTCCGAGACGGGAGAAGTTGGTGGACGGCGCTCGGCATCGGGGGAAGCTTTACGCTGTCGACAGATCGTCAGGACGTGGAGGGCACGATTTCGCTAGGACATACTTTGAGGCTTACGGGTGCGAGCAGCGCTGCTAGATTCGATGGCGAGCCTTCCTGGACGAGCTCTCCGATGAGCTCGTGCCCCACACGGCCTGATGGCGAGTCCTGCGGGAGACACATTAGATGGCGATGATAGACAGAGAACACGCCATACCCGCAGCGAGTCTGGGCGGTCGTCACCATAGAGATTATCTTCCGGATCCTGGTCACGGCGGATTGAGGAGGAGGGTGTTGCAGGGAAAGAGAAGGAAGGTGTAGCCATGTCTTGAAGAGTCTCCATAAAGTCGGCGTATTTTTGTTGAACCTCATTGGAAGGCTTCAGCGGCTTCTTCGCAATTTGCATGCGGTAGACACGATGCAAGACGAGGAGCTCTATTGATCAGAGTCGGACAAGTAAACCTAAGCAGAGGAATGAGGACATACCAGTCGGCTGGCCACCACCGGTCTTGGCTTGCTTGGCACGCTTAGGCTTTCGGCTGCTCGAGGCGTGAACGGGAAACAGAAAAAGGAGTGTTAATGCTCACAAAGAATTGAAGGCATCCACTGCGACTGGCAGAAGCACGCCGAAAAGCGATCTCACAAAGGGGAGCACCTTGCACAGGTTCGGCGACTCAAACCACAGACCTCCGACAAAGATGTGTACAGCGTCTGCGACAGTGCCTCCGCCCTTTGCAGCAATTGCGTCGACGCCGCGATGTGTGGGTTTCTTGAAGAGCTCGAAGAGTATTTCTTCCGACAAAAGGCAATTCTCAAGAGTCTTGGAAGAGGTGAGGCGAGATAGACACGGGCATAGAGCGAGTTACCCCAAAGAGTCCTACACTGAACCCCGCCTCAAGCCCGCCGCAAAATTCCGCAAATACAGTGGCAAATCCGAGGTGCAGAGCAGTCCTGCCCATTGCTTTGTAGCCTTCTCGTATGGTATCCTGTGGCGACAATAACTGATCCCAAGTCTGCTGGGTGAGCCAGGGTAGCAGCACCGCGAAACGGGGCTCAGCGATAGCGGATTTGACGGCAATCTTGACGGCTCGTTCTCGGTCGTTGTGCATTTCGAAACGGGTGTCGCGGGCGTGGTGATGGAAGGCAAGAGGTGGACGTGACGCGGAACGTCTGGAGTGCGCTTATGTAATAAGCCCGTTTGCTTGGCAGATCACACATATCGAACCCAAAGCAGTAATTTTGCGTATTGCAAGTGTAGAAGGACAGAGAAGGACTTTGAGCTCGGCGGATGCATCTTTGACCAGCTCTGCTGTTCCCCTTTTGTAGCGCTAGCAAAAAACCGAGCGCCCGACGCTCAATTCTGGCGTCCACTTCTTGTGGTTCTATGGTTCAGTTGGCTATCAAGCTGACTGCAACACTGCCATCCGATCGTCAGACATCGGATGGTCGAGGGTTCGATTCCCTCTGGATCCACCTGGGCTGTGCGGGTTGGACCGTTCATCTGAAACTCACGTGGCACCTGTGAGGCAGGTCCGGGCTATAGAATTGGCAGCTATCGCGCCATCGGGATTGGGGCGCTTCATCAGTCGGCGATTCGTCTTAGGGACACGAACCCCTCCCACCGGCATCATTTTTTGCGTTCTTGTCATTCGTGTCTGCCTTCATTGTCAATGCTAATCACGCAGAAACGAGGTCCGGGATATAGAATTGGAAGCTATCGCGCCTTGAACGGGTTACGGCGCCTCATCAGTCGGCGATTCGTGGACACGAAACACTCCCACCGTCATCGTTTTCTGCGTTTGACGTCTTCATTTGCAAGGCTGATCGTCCAGAAATGTCCAGAAATCCATGATAAATTTCAGCGCATATGAGCTTGCGAAGAAAAGTAATGCCAAAAGCCCAAGCCATAAAAGATCCCTATTGCGCCAATCATGCATGGCCCCGTACAAAAATATAGCTCATCTCAGCCTCACCACCACTGCAAGCAAGAGTCAGTGACGGGCAGCACGCAACGCGAGGGACTTACCGGATGACACTCGCCCCCGTCCCACGTCCACACCCGCTTCGCATCCCCAATGACCATCTTCGCGAACTGCATCCCGTTCCCCGCCTCGACGTTCCTCATCCACCACACCACCAGCCAGTGCCGCGTGACGTACTTGTACCACACGTAGTACTTCCACTCGTAGCTGTTGATCGCGCGCGGGTTGAGGTAGATGCGCTGCAGATCGAACTGCCGGCGGAGGTCGTACGGGAGGTTGAAGGACTCGGACGAGAAGCACTCCGCGGCGCCCGAGCGGCGGAAGCGGAGCGGGGGCGTCTGCGCGGGGGTGAGCGAGGCGGGCTGCGGGTATGCGGGGTGCGTGTCTGGGAGGGGGCGGGGGAGCGGGGAGGCGGAGAGGCGGCCGGGCTTGCGGAGGTGGATGGGGAGCAGGGGGTCTGCGCGAAACGCGACGATGCCGTTCCAGCAGGTGAAGACGGGTGCGGGCTCGTCCTCCATCACGGCCTGCATGCCGGCGTCTTCCAAGAAGTATGGCCACAGAGAAGATACGAGACGGCCGAGACGATCGCGCACGACCCAGGCATCGTAGAGGCTGAGAGAGGATGAGACGAGGGGATGAAGCAGCAAATAGAAGAATCTCACCCCCATCGCATCAGATCCAGTCCGCAGACCATGTCCCACTCGCCGTCCTTCGTCTTCAGGAGCTCCACCACCGACTCCGCTTCTATCAGTACGTCGTTGCTGAACAGGACTATGTCGTAGCCGCCATGCTCTATCAGCGGCGCCAGGGCCAGATTGCGTGTGGCAGAGAGAAACTCGATTCGGGGGATCCCAGTAGACATGTCTTACGAACGGTCTTCAGTATGGGGGAATGCGAGACGATGCGAAGACACACCTTCTGGTCGCGGTATCGTCGTATCTCGGGTACGAATGACATTCGGCACTTCCAGCTCGTCTAGAGTTACCTTCCACTGGTCCAGCATGTCCGCTGTGCCGTCCCGGCTATTAGACTCTACAACGGAAATGAAGATATTATCCTGCAGACAAATGTGAGTCGTTAAAGACGGCGAATCAAGCAATACACTCACGCTGCCGATGTAATAAATGACTTTTGTAATCTCTTTGATCCAGTACGGTAAGATTTCGATATTGTTGTTGAACATAACGGCGAGGAAAACCTTGGCTACCAATGTATCAGGACGCAGGTCATTGAACGCATCGGTTTGCTTACTTCCGTTATAGTAACCGGCTTCTCGTGGTTCTCGCAGGGCAAGTTCTATCTCGGGCCTGTACCGATGGTCGCCAGCAAGTTCGTAGGTTTCGTACATGTATACCCCGCTGAGGGCCATAGACAAAAAGACAACGAAGAAGGATATCCATGGATAGTTCATCTGCAGAAACCCGCGATATACACGGTGGGTCCTGCTCCTACGTGGCTTCGAGCCACTTGAAGACCCCATAGCCATCTCGTAGTCTCCGCGCTTTGTCCGGGAGTAAGCTTCCGTAGCGTACACCGAGAAAACCTGCAACATGGGCCACAGCACCACACCCAGGGCCATGCATAGTCCCCAGCTAGGGATTGTTGCCATCATTATAACGAGTCGCGTCCGCGAACTTGGCCATGCTGGTAAGAATAGTCCGTCCACCGGGTAATAGAACGCCCATAAGCCCCAGTAGTACTTGTAGATGCACCGGAAGAGCAAGACAGGCAGCGTTATGAAGGCAGTCCGCGTGAAGAGTGATAGGGCGAAGTAAAATAACCAGGAAATCGGATATACGACCCGGGAGACGCTTGGCTGCCTGCTGAGTGCAATTAGCCATGCAATTCCATCCTGCATTAAGGCCCACGCGACGAAACTTGGGAGGGGGGTGCGGGGTCGTGTGGTGAGGGTTTGTGGCAAGAGGCAAACACAGTGCAGACAGGCGCTAAGTGGCTGCGCATTTCAAGGCCTCTTGCCACCACAACCTGCTTGAAAATGCTACTGTCTGCAGGCTCTAATGCACACGGTCAACTATCTAATACGACCCTAGACGACTCGCATGTCTTTCTGCCGTGTTGTTTTTCTGGCTGCGCGCCAGGAACTCTCCCCACTGGTCGCAAACTTTTGCACTTGGCTTTCGGGGCCAACCATACGCTAGCGCTGTTGAAATCTACGGGTGACTTGGATATAGAGCTCTGGGGCTGCGGGGATGGCAAGTCGGGTCAGCTGGGGCCCTCGTACGACGATGAGAGCACTTGGATTTTCCGGCCCCTCGATCTTGCATTGGAGCGGCATGGTCTTGCTGCGTATGTCCCGCGGCTAGTTGCTGCCTCCTGGGAGACATCTTATGTGGTGCTTTCGCGTGCGGACATGCCGGATGTCCTACTCGCAATGGGCGCGAATGATTTCGGAGACCTGGGGATTGGTGCAAAGGGCAAGATGCCCGCGAAAGATATCCACGTCGTACGATTCGACCATCTCAGCGTCTCTGCCCCGCTAGTCGTGGACTCGCTTGCCGCGGGGCAGCACCATGTCGTCGCAATACTCGAGGGGGGCCTGACCGCAGGATGGGGCACCTCGCGCCATGGGCAGCTTGGAAACGTCGAATCGTCTTTCCTCTCCTCCCCAGCGTTCATCTCTCAGGGACGAGCCGCCGAGGCAGTTGTACATGCTGCCTTGGGCCACCAACACACTGTATTCCTGCATGCCTCAGGGACGGTGTCCGGCGTGGGCTCTAATCGAAAGCGTCAATTGGAAGGCATCGAGGCAGCCGCAGACATACAGAGTGTGGCATGCACCTGGAACGGGACGTACCTCGCGACCGGCGCCGGGGACGTGATCTCCGCTGGAAACAACGTCAACGGGCAGCTGGGCCGCGCCGACGCGCCCCTCGCCCGCGTCGAGTTTCCGTTCACCCCCGCAACTCATCGGCTGCTCCAGCTGGCCTGTGGGAGCGAGCACGTTCTTGCGTCTTTCGACATCTTGGATTCCTCCACGACGGAGGTCTGGGGATGGGGCTGGAACGAACACGGGAATTTGGGCGTTGGCACGACGGAGGACGTGCGCATTCCGGTCAAGATCTGGTCCACAACGCCGTCGATGAAAGGCACCATTGGTATCTGGGCCGGGTCAGGGACTAGCTGGATCGCTGTACAGCAATGAAATTCGAAGCAGCCCTGTGGTGTCTGCCCAGATGGACACTGCATGTTGTATCTATTCCCCCCTTTCAGAAAACCGGGTTCGAGATTCTTTTCCTTTGTTAAACTTGAAGTTAAAGCCCGTACATCCACAGGTAACCACGGAAAACTAACTATGGACATAAACTACAGTCGACCGTTGGGCACTCGATTTCTTTGCTAGTGCGTACGAAAAGAGCATAAACGAGCTGGTGTTTGCATGCGCCGAACTCGAAGTCCCTCCGCACTCTTAGACTGCAAGTCTGCAATTTCCGCGAAATTACCACTGTGTGGGATCTGTCAATTCAGCGTCAATTCAGATGGCGTTCGTGCACAGGCCCAGGTCAACTTCCGAGAGCAGAGAGTATTGTGGCGGATTGAAAGAGATATTTGGTGGCCTGTATTGGGCCTGTACTCAAATGAAACTTTGATGGTCATTTTTTTCCGAGCACTGCCACAGTCGGAAAAACTCTTTATTTGTGTGTGCTTGGCTGCGATGTAGTGTCGTGCCGCAATCAAGCCGATCTTCTGTTTCTTGGTTTCCACTTCCATTCTGCCATCCGTTTTAAAACCCTCAAACCCTGCCAAAGCCCTCCGTTGAACGCCATTCAATAGATCCTGGTCCCACAGGCTACCTGTATCTGGAGATGGCGTCCCGAGTCATTCTAATAATCTAATTTGGAAGTCCTTGGTTTGCGGTTCTTCCGTGTCGGCGGCCCCTCCCACTCTCCGAGCCGTTCCTTTTTCAATTTATTCTCGCAAACGGCCTGTCTATTCATGATCCTGAATGATCCTTCAGTCTGTCACCGCACATACCTCTTCCATGCTCGTTACACAACTTCACGTGCGGCCGGCGAAACCGTGACAAAAACACTCAGCCTTGACTCAGCTCTTCGGAGTCTTCCCTTTTAAGTCCTGTTGATGATTCAGGGGATGCCTCACCCAGTCGTGACCTGCTATAACCCCCCGCTGGAGAGTATAAATGCAAGTCCCGAAGAGAGCTATATCCCCACTCCTCAACAATGACCACTATTACTCTGTACGATATCGCCTCGACCCACCCCCGCCAGACTTGGTCGCCAAGTACTGCGAAAGCAAGGCAAGCTTCACGGACTCGTTCGCCCCACTTTATTGACCCTCCGCTCAGATACGCTCTGAACTTCAAGGGCATCCCCCATAAAACGGTCTTCCTTGAATACGAGGAGATCGAGCCCTTGTGCAAGAAAATTGGCGCAAAACCGACCAGCAAAGCGTCCCCCCAGTACACGCTTCCAGTCATCTACGACTCGGTAGCCGGTAAGCACCTCCCCTTGC